ACAGGATTTGGTATAAGCCTTTCAACGAGACTCGCGTGAAAGCTATGCAAGTGTGTTGGGATTGTTATGTGTAACAATTTTTCTCGCACGTGCTGCTGCTGCTGCTGCTCTAGACAATATACAATCTGACAATAGAATTTTTGCTCACGCGTTTAACATTTCTTCTTTTATATATCATCTCATTATCACAGTATGCGGAATGCATTTGTAGAAACAAATTGGATTATTCAGATAATGATATAATAATGGGAAAATGCGATTATTTAATTAATTAATTAATTAATTAATTATAAATGAAAATTTATACTATTCGAATAATTCGAAATACGTGACGAGATTATGCTCATATTTTTTTGTATGTCTCAATGTTTCAATAATTATTATTTATTATCTATGATAATCAATAAATTATTAAATAGAGACACGGAGATTAGGATTTAGATTTCAATTGATAATTAACAAGAACAAAGAGAGAAGTAATTGTTAATTTATCTTATAACTGTATGCATATAAAAATCAAATCTGCACGTATAAAAATCATGCAACTATAAAACTATTATAATCCTTTAAATTTCTACTTCATCGATATGTTTTTTAATTAATACAATTTTAAATAGTTTCATTTTTTTAAATTCTCATCTATTGTTAATAATTATTGACACAACCATCCCTCTCTCTCTCTCTATTTTTCTCTCGTACATGCACCTCATGTGCATAATCTCGTTTGAAGAAACCCTGTTTTCAAGATGCATCTTTTTATATTGGATATTTTCAGTATGTAGTATATATTCTCAATGTGTGTGCTTAAGTATGTCGTTTATTGCCAGAGAATGCGACAACACGCAAAGATCGTTTTTCTTGGTGTTCCAGCTTACGCAATGGGTGCGACACTACGAGGATGATACGCGAGGGTCATGACGCGTCTGCTGCTTCAAGAGACCCTCGACACAAGTTATGTAGACTTAAACTTAAGCTACTCTTTTTCTTTCTAATAATCGCATCCGTTGTTGTTCGTATTTTACACATGTATCTGCGAAAAAAAAAAAAAAAACAGGAAAAAAAGAAAAAACAATACCATCAACGTCAAATTAAACCAGTACGTTAAAAATCATTTGAAATTTTTACAACGAATGAACGAAGAAAAAAATTAATTTTTGTTTTTTAGGAACTACGTACATTTCATTCGAATTTTTCAATCGATTCTCACCCTATTGCGAAAAACTGGATGGGATGGTGAATGGGGGGGAATGGGGAATGGGGATGGGGTTTAAAAATGAAACATACAGGAAACCTGTATCGTATGTAAACCCCTCTCTCTGTCTCTCTCTTTCTTACTCTTTCAACTTATTGGCAACAGACGTTTGTCTGCGACAGTTAGAACCCCTCCTGTTGTTGTTGTTCACTACTACCATTTATTAGAGAAAATGAAGCTAATCGTGTTGCCACCAGTCGATGGGTCAGCTTCTCTAGTGTCGTTCAAACTAACATACTGTTTACAAAATAAGAAATATCATAGGACCCTAACTAAAAATTACTACTAAGCTCGTTTAAAAAGGGAAACTTATTAAACGTAACGTTTTACTATAATAAATTAAATGACCAATTATTTATTATTCGTATCTGGAATGTAATATGAATTGTTTAAAGAAATAATCCAATGAAACATAACATAGAGAGAGAGAGAGAAATAAAGTGCATACTTTTATCAGAAGAAGAAGAAGAAGAAGAATTTATATATTATATTTTATTTTATTTATTTTATTTTTTTTAACCACAATTTATATCGAAATAATGTTTCATTATACACCTGTCGGTTACCTCAATTCTCAAGGATAACTCGAAAATAATTAATTAACAAAATTAAATAAAAATTAATAATTAATTTACATTTAATCATACATTTTTTGATTGAAAATCAAAGAAATTGAGACGGGGGTCAGAGAAGGGGGGTGACAAAATTCGAATTCTAAAAATTGTGTTTATATTTATTGTTAGATAGAGTGTATATATATATATATATATATACCTTTGAGAAAAAAAAAAATTGAAAAGGTTTTTAATTATCGTTTTAACAAATATAAAAATTGTGGTTTTTCCTATAAAAAATCATTCCTATAAGAGAGTGTTAAATCGTGTTCTCCCTGCACGACATCGGTCGTAGTCACCCGGTAATGACGTGCCTTCCCTTCTCTCCCTTTATCTTACTATCTTTCTTTCTCTCTTTTTTTTTTTTATCTTTCTCTTTTTCTCCCTCTCGTCACGCGAGAAAGCATCGAATTTGCGTCCGGGTGGTGGTGCCGGCAAAGCACCACAACTACGCGTTTTCAACCTCGTTGTCGTTGTCTTGTCGATAAATCCAACACATATACACATTTACTCTTCCCCCCTTCCCCCTCCCACGCTTGCTTAACCCTTTTGTACCATTAAGAAAAAATATATAATTAATAATTAATCAAATATTTTATTTGTGTTGTATACTTGAAATTATTTTGATTGAACCTAACACACTGGGACATGGAAAATGCAAAATTTTTGCACACACATTCCCATGAATGAATAATTCGTTTCCTATTTTATTATATTGTATATAGTATTGAATGTTTAATTAAAAAATTCGAAATGTATATAACAAATTGTTTGTTATGTATGATATATGTTTGGTACTCCTCGTAAACGATTAGAAATTAATTTTTCTACTTTGATTCTGTGTTGTTGTTGTTGTTGTTGTTTATTATTATTATTATTTCTTTTGATCTATTTTATCACAACGCGTAACTGACGAAACGTAATAATAAATATCCGCGTGTTATATGTTTCCTTTTATCTGTCTCTGTTTCTGTTCTTTTCGTTTCCTCTTTCGCGCAGAATAATTCTCGGTTATGTCACGGGAAGTCAAGTGTCGTGTGTGGAAAAAGAGAAAGAGAGAGAGAGAGAGAGAGAGAGAGAGGATACCAAACCAAACGAATAATACTATCCGTGTATATACGGGCATATACACATGCACACACGCAAATACGTAAAACACGTACTTACAGGGTGAGTCAATAATATCTGTCGTCAGGTGAAAATAAATACGTTTTGAATTCTTCTCAACAAACACACAGACACACACATAGTGTATTATTTTATTTATAAGACCGTGGGTGTAATATTACGAAATAAGGAATTTAATTAATATCGATTGAGTAAATCTCGTGTCTGATAAATTTAGATAAAACTACGTTCCATAGAAAATAATTCAAACGTTATTACACGTAATACGTAAATTAAATTCGTCAAATTATTCTCATTCAATATAAATTTGAAAATAATCTATATAAAAGAGATATATAAACAAAAAAGAAATACAATTATTACATTTAACAAAATAATTATTTCTCGCATCTCTTCATATTATAATGTTTCTTTTTTTGTCTTTTCTTTTCTTTTCTTTTCTTCACAGCAGATTTATTGGTCGTATCTCGTGGGTCAATTTTCTTATCAGTTATGTATGCGTCACACACACACTTTTACTTTACTTTTCTTCTAATAAAATGCAACTCGTGGCGTACGATAAAATTCGTATCAATTTTTAAACAAGAATAATCCTATATATATAAAACATATATTTATATAATATAATATAAAAATTATAAAAAATATTTGGTAATACAAGAGTAAAAATAATGAATTGTTTTAAATAAACAACAACAGCTAAGAATATTCTTCTAAAATTCACTGATATTAACTGACTCACCACCCTGTGTCTTCGTAATATTACACGACCAATATAACGCATATAAACATAAATCTATATACGCGTGTATATAGGTATATTTAAACCAATACGTTTACAATTGCCGAGAAGAGAGTTGTGCTTTATGGCTCGACTTATATACGACCGAGATTCGATTCGTCCTCGACGCCAAGCGCAGGTGAGCCGCGAAGGAAAACGGCCACGTCTGGTAAAACGAGAAACAGAGACAGAAACAGTAAGAAAGAGAAAGAAAGAGAAAGAAAGAGAGAGAGAGAGAGAGAGAAAACTGAGAACTAGAAAGAGAAGGAGAGAAAATTAATAAAAAAAAAAAAAGTGAGAACTAGATAGAGGGAGGTGTCGGGGGGTGGTGAAGGAGAATGATGAGGAGGAGGAGGAGGAGGTGGGGAAAGGGGGTAAGGGGGAAAGTCATACGGAGAAGGAGATCGCGCTCATTTTCATTCGCGTCGCGCGCGCCGATATTCGCGGGTGCAAATAAGGCCGCGCGCAAAAAGGTTGGAAGAAAAGAAAAGAGAAGAAAAAGAAGTAGAAAAGAAAAAGAAAAAGAAAAAGGTTCGAGGATGAAACTTGCATGCCAACCAACTAAACCAACCACCTCTCTTCGGGATGTTCTCGTCTTTCCTAACACCCTGCCCGTGTATTAATAATACTACTCGTCAAATGCTTCCTCTCTTACCGTGCATACGATGGATGCACACGAAAAAACGCATACACGCGCAAAGTTATACGTATATGTAGTATGTCGTTACAGGCGCATACCTTACACTCATACAAATACGTATGCAAAAGGGGAATAGATCTAGAATGTATAATATGTATGTATATATATTCTGAAATGTATAAGACTTTACATACGTATTTTCGTATTCGTACGAGTGTGCGTGAGTGCGTGTATGTATACGTGCGTGCGTATATTCACTACCACTCCCGAGTTGAGAACCCCTGTGCATAGAACGGCGAGACTACTACTACCGATGATGATGATGATGATGATGATGATAATGATGATGATGATGACGATGATGATAATGAAGAGAAGAAAGTTGCATTAGAATGATCGGTCAATGATGAAGGAAAATATATATTGACCAATGAAATACGAGCCATGTTATTTATTTCTTCCTTTTTCGTTTACTTTTCCATAAGCAGTTTCTCTCTCTCACACACACACACACACATACACACATCTCTCTCTCTCTCTCTTTCTCTCTCTTACTCCCTTTTACTGCGTCCCGAGAGTACTCACTTTTTGTCGTATTACCAGAAACGTATTACTTACTTGCGTACGCGCCTAAGTTCCTATATTTTCAGTCCCTTTTTTTCATAATTTGTTCTACACATACACAAAAAAAAAAGTACACGGAAGAAAATTAAACGATTTATCGTTACGCACCACCCCCGAGAGAAGTTAGTTCGCTTAAGTTAACCTTCCTTCGACGAGATAGATTCCGAAAGCGCGACGCTGTTTTCAATGCGCTGTCAGCCCAGCAGACCCGCCTAACCTGACCCTTTCGTTCCGAGTACGAACCCGTATATGGTGGGGGCAGCTCAGTCTACTGCGCAACCATCCGCGCGCATTAGGTCATCTCGAAACTCTCGATCGACGCGCCAAAATTTGAATCGATTTATTTCCATGTTCGATTATTTGTCATAAATTTAACGGAGATACATTCGAATTTATAATCTGGTTTTTTTATATATTATATTTTACATTCGATTTATTAACTTAATACGAAATTTATTTGAAAGTAAAATATTTAATTACTAAATCCATACACATTTAATATATATCGAGATAATTTTTATTTGAATTAAAAATTACGCGTTTTCGGATAATATTTCGATGCAACGGAGATGTTAATTATTAGTATGGGAAATGAATGATTGACGAAGATGATAACAGGGTCGAATGATCAACGATGAGAAATCATAAAAGAGTAGTAATTTATCTCAAACAATTAGATCGAAGCGTAGATAATGTTTGAAGGAAAAAGGGACGAAGAAGACCCGAGAAACTTTGGTGGAACATTCGATAAGACTATACTTCGTAACACTCGATTATGTTATCGTAATAACGGCACGTCGATAACCTTTCTACAAAAGGGTCCTTCAAATTCAAAGCCGAGTTTAGATGCTTCTTCCTAGGAAATTTGCATTTCTCGTAGGAAAACAATGGGGAGACCAAGTTAAGTACAGAAGTCTTCTTACTCTCTCTCTCTCTCTCTCTCTCTCTCTCTCTCTCTCTCTCTCACTCTATCTCTCTCTCTCGTTCTCCCGTTGAATTCATTTAACCCATTAGTCTAGAGGCTTCCTAATGTCGCTTCCGAGGAATGTAATGAGTCAGTACAACGACCAGCACCGGACTGTATTCTGACGCGTTTTCTTCACGGGGGATGATGCATTATTCAGCTGCAAAGAAAATAAAATACGCGTCAATAAAGTATGACGATATATAAACTTATCATTCAAAAGATAAAGAGAAATAAAATTAAATAAAATGCATTTTTGATCACACATTACACTTACATCATTAAACTACTTAATATTCTTGGTACATATTAATTTACTTCTTTGTTATTCATAAGAAATGATACTCGTTAACAGTCTACTCTTCCTCTTGTCTGTTTAAATTAACAAATTATGTAAATGAGATATATGAGTGCATAGACGACCTTGCAGTTGTTTAAAAAAAAAAAACAATTAGGACAAAGGAATGGATTTTTTACTTGGTAGAAAAGATGTAATTCTCGTGAATTAAAGGTAACAATTGGGTCATGAGCAAATCTCTCAACTGTCCAGGATTTTCCGTTTTCAACAAAGCAAAAGACTTCTCTTTGAATTCGCTGTCCAAACTTTGCCGTACTATATCCGTCACGGCGGTGCTCAATATTTGGCAAGCCTTATACTCGTCGTCGAGAGGCACGTGATTATTGTGTAGCATTTTTTTATCTTTACGGTATGTTACTTTAACGGTGGGATTTATTCGGCAAAGAGAAGTGATTAGTTCCAATACGGTGGCCTTGAATTTCTCAACGTCGCTCGCCGTCAGCTTGTACTGCGAAGAGGAAATTTGATATGCAATAACAAACAAACCCAACAAAAAATAATACTAAGAGAAAAAGAGAGGAAGATCTAAACCAGTGGCGTGATTTTTTTTCTTTCAACTTACCGACAATATAATCGATAAATATTTTCTACAGGAAACCAAATCGATATGTTTCTTCTCTTCATTTTTAACGAGACACAAAGGTTTCTTTGGCGGGTAATGTAAATCGTATACTATCTCGAAATCATTTTGTTCGTCTTTCAAATAAATCATAGCGAGAATATTTTTATAACATTTCATTGAAATTAAATTGTTAAATATGTATCGTAAAATATTTAAAATATTTGATTGATTATTATCGCAGTATCCATAGTTGGTCAATTGGATCGAATAGTGTCCGCCATGTTCCTTCGACATTTTAACATCCATATGAATATATTTGGATTTTTTTAATTTACCATTTTCGGATTTCCATAAATCGAGAAAGCGAAACAACGCCTGTGGAAAAACATTTCGCGAATGCGTTTAGTGAAAGTGTATATTTATATTTATACATACGTACATACGTGTATAAAAATGTATGCCGGTTAATTAACACAACTTAACTGACACGAATTAAATTATTCCCACGTTTACGCTCGAAGATGAAGAAAAAGAAATTACATTTCAAATCTATAAAATCTTATTTTCTACGAATAATATTTTCTCTTTCTATCCATATTTCAAGCAACAATTTTTCAAATTAATATAAAATAATCGATGTTAAATTATTTTTTGAATCGATGATATAGTAAAAATCGAAGCTGAATATAACCGCGCTAAATGCAGAAAATTTTGCATCTTTATGTCAATAAGATTATCGTTAGGAAAATAATGCGTTAAAATATTAAAACGTTCTGAAATGTATTAATTTAAGAGAAAGTTATATATATATATATATTTAATTATTATACCCTTTTGACAATATCTGTCATTAAATAAACGTCCAACGTCGATACCTCCATGATGGCCGCTCGAGTAGTGTAGCGACCTGCTGTCGATAAGCAGATTTCTACTTTATCCTATGCAACGACTGGCGCCGCCATTCTCACTGCTCGTTCTTTGGCAAACTACTTGAGCGCTAGCACTCTATCATAGCTAACAGCGTTTCTATGGGAACGTTAAGGTTTCCGTAGTTACAAAGACTTTCTTCT